AAGCTGTCTGTAGATGTAATAGGGTATTGCTCCATAGTCGTCGCCTGATTAACCGTCGGTTTGTAGTCACCATAAATGTGAATCGGGCCACCGGGTTCTTGTAACGGAACGATTATTTCGGCCCAAAATGATTGGCGTAAAGGCGAGATCATGCAGTCATTTTATAGGCACCCTATCTCCGACCATACCCTCGGGCGGATTGCAAAAGGAAAGCCACGTTCTTTGAAAAATCGGTTGTAAACATAGGCTGGTGTTGATACGAACCTTGAAATTAAGTAATTTCTTCTGCAGTATTCGGCTCGTAGCGCAAGACAGCAGAACACGTCAGATTCTGCAGTACAAAAAATGTAGTATTTCTAGCCTCAAACACAAACGCTGCGCACAAGTTATATATCCAGCCAATGGTTAGTTTCCTGTTAATTTGGCAAGTAAAGACGCTGGTGCGTTGAGCTTATAGAAAGCAAATGAACTCGGCTCGTGCAGATGTCACGAAATAGATGAAATTAAAATAGCATCCGTGCAAGACATGTCACCTTCTGAACTTCCCTACAAACGCTCCTAACTATACCAAATAGGTTGAAGATCTTTCACAACAAACTCTAGAAACATTGACGGAAGTTGGTATAAGTAACATGCAAGCAGCTAGTTGATACACTCAGCTTACCAACTCCATGTCATTACCTACAAGACCAAACCTTGCACCTGTGCACCCTATTATCCCTTCCCTTTTACTATCCTCTCTTGAGCCTCCTAAACTAGAAAATGATGATACAAATATTGGTACAATTACATATTAGGTGCTCGAGTCTAGCAACCGACGGAAAATTCATGATCCGAAATTCCATTATTTAAATGTACTTCACTATTATGAATTTACATCGCATAAAACATGAAACATACTCACTAAACTAATGATCGCTCCCGCTTATGGAGCCGTGTGTCGCTTCTTAGTAAATAAACAAATTAAATCAGTTATATTTTTAAGTCCGCAGCAGCGTGCCGCATTGGGCAAGTATTCTCGAACTCCGGATCAGGAATCTAGATTCGAGTAGTACTGACAAGCCCTTTCTAGCGACACGTTGGTAATTTACGCTTACAACCTTTCACGTGCTTTGCTGCAGATCGGATCACAAACATCCCCTGCTCGCAAGCTTGAGATTACTCCCCTCAATGTTTGCTACCTCACTGAAACCCGATTAGAGGACTCTAGCACGACGCTACGACTGGTTTTACCGCCTGTGTGATCCGCTGGCATTATCACATTGCGCGTATCTGGAGACGTAACCACCGATGCCGCTGGTCTTGCCGGCGTACGGATTGTATTGAGCGCAGGTGCTGAGGCCGCGTTGATACACTGGATGCCTGTCAACAGTCGACTCAGCTTGTAGGGGACTTAAACGCACAGGTCGTATATTCGAGTTTGAAGAGCGTGAACTAGATGGTCAAAATGAGCATGGCACTCGCATAGCAGATAACGGTGATCGCCTACTTCAGCTTTGCGCCAGTCACGGACTCGTCCTGTCGTGTGCTAGCTTTTGGCAATCCTGGCACCAACGCGTCACCTGAAGGCCTCCGTCACTTGGCCAGCCATGGACGCAGGTTGACCAAATCGCCATCAGTTATCGTTGACGGGGCTACATGCAGGATTACAAATTAATCTGGTCTATTTACGTCACTTCGGATCACGCGCTCGTGTGTACCAAGATTGTTTTACGTTTTGGTGGCTCCGAACGACGTCGTCGGACACGGTTTGACGTGGCGAAACTTTCTGCACCAAGCGTTCTCATTACGTTTCAAAATGCGTCGGCCTCAAATCTCAAGAGCATCTCATGCTCTAACGTTGAAACCCACTGGCATACATCCGCAACGCCATGCATGACTCTGCGAGCCAGTTATGTGGTTCCGCCAGTAGTCCTGTCAACCACCGGGTCTCTGCACGAGCACTGCAAGTTATCGAAGCTCGTCGGGCAATTCCAGATGACGGTGGACCACTAACGCTGAACACAAATAGCTCCTCCGGGAGAGTCGCGAGGCCTGGTGGACACAACGGGTCATTGGTATGAAGCAGGCAGCCAGCTTGGGGAATTTTCGAAAGTGTTTCCACCTGGTCCGATCCCATGGCGACTAAAGGCCGACTGTAAGCGAAGTGTTGCACGAAATCAATTGCCAGTGAATTCATTGCCAACAACCTCGAGTTGTGTGTTGGGATGAGCATTGGGCAGCAGTTTACTTGGCCTGTAATACCAATAATACAGCATTCGAGAATCCATATTGCTCACCACAATCTGAGGCCGAGGTTGCTCATGAGCTTCCCTTCTTAAAGCACTACAAAGCCACTAGCCCAGACGAACTACCCCCGGCTATTTTCAAAGTTGGTGGCTCCTCACTTGTTCGGGAACTAACTTCCCCTCTTCAAGAGGTTTGCACCACCGAAGCAATATCCTCTCATTGGAGTCTAGCGAATATCGCGCCCGTCTACAAAAAGCGTGCGCGGTCCGGCTGTGATAACCACAGGGGGGATTAGTCTCAGCTGCATATCATCTGAAGTGCTCGCCACCCTGCTTTTAAGAAGGTTCATCCCGATACTCAAACAGAACATACGTGAAGAGCAAGCTGGGTTCCGCTCTGACCGAAGTTGCATTGACCACGGCTTTACTCTCCGCCAAATACTCGATCGTCGTCAAAAGTTCGGTCGGCCAAAGAACGTTGTTTTCTTAGAAATATGAGCTGCGCTTGACTCAGTTGATTGGGCTGCTGTCTGAAGCTGTCTCTTGAGCAGGGAAGTGCCTGAAAATTACCTCAACATTCTTCTAGCCATCTGTTATCGAACCTCTTGCCGAATGCGGGTGTACGGCGGAATTTTGTCGCCCTTCAATATCACCAGTGATGTGAGACTGCGCTGTCCAGCATCACCATTCCTGTTCAATTTCGCTATTCTTGACATCCTAGAAAGCGCTCTGGTGCATTGCAAACCTAGCGGCGTTGAACCACTTCCGAGGACCGTCTTCGCGATTTGGAGTATACAGACGACATCGCCGTAATTTGTGATTCCTCACAGGCCACAGAAAATGTGCTGTGCAGGTTGGCGGTGTTTGTATCCCAGTTTAGAATGATCTTCGTCCCATTGAAGCGAAAGGTCTTCCTGCAGGAAAGCCTAGGATCTGCTCCCACTCTTACCCTACCAGATCATTCACTGGAAGTGGTAGACAAGTTCATTGACCTCGGAAGCTGCGACAACACTAACGTTTTACGGATGATGTCTCTTTGCGCGTCTCTAAGACCAGGGATGCGTTTGCTAATCTCCGTCATCTCTGGCGTCGATGTGACTGAGTCTACATTGCCACGGTGAGAGCGGTCATGCTCCACGGTTGCGAGAGTTGGACTGTTCATGCAAAGGATGTTCAGGGGCTGTCTGTCTGCGATCACCGCTGGCTTCGGAGAATTGTTAGGGTACGGTGGCAACACCACAGTACTAGTGAGGATATTCGCCGAAGGAGGTTCGAATCGGACAGACTGTGCCGGCCGTTGAGCCGTATAATTTCCCTGCATAGGTTTCGGTGGCTTGAGCACGTGCTTCGCATGCCTACTGAGCGTTTACCTCACCGTGCACTTCTTGTGCGCACAAAAGTCGGCTGAAAGCAAAGACAAGGTGGCCCGCGAGTGACTTGGACCAAAAGTTTGAAGGCGCTAACCTCCAAATTAGCGGTGGTCGAGCGCTCCTGGCTCCCCGGTTGGGGGTACAAGGATCATGAACATACTTGGCTGGAAACCTTTTCGGACAGCTCAAGAAACCGTGAGCCAGGGCGAACAATTTGTGATGTGCCCTCATGATTCCAGTGGTACCCTTTTTACCCTCTCTATTTCATTCGTTTGTTGTATTATATTTTTTCATGCGCTGTGGCACATTGCCAATTGTGCTGTTGGCTGTGTTCAGTATATACAGCAGTATATACACTAGTTAACTCTACTGAATTCGAAGTGAAGGATTTTTATTGTTGCACTTAAGGTAGTTGAAGTATATTTCGACGAGTCCTATCGGTGCCAAAATTATGGCAATGCGTACCTTGGATTGTATCTGAATTAATGACCGGCGCTACTGTGTGGGACGATGACTGTTATATCAAACGGATGGAATGAACGCGGTGGCAACTGGCAAAGCGCCGATCAGATACAGCCCATTCATTCGTTTATAACTCTAAAGTTGACGTTAAATGTCTACCTGGGCAATAACTTCGAAGCAGGTTGTGACTAAAGCGAACTGGTTTAACTTCTTTCCGGAGAGAAAATGGTTTGCATTTTCTCTGGATAGACCTAGACTAGGAAATTGAACACAAATCGCACATCAGTGCAAACATATGTACAGTAAGTATAAATGCCTAGGTACAGAAGTGCTGATTGCTATCGATCCCTAATACTTCTTTTGTCGTTTTTGGACATACAACAAATTAAATATCAACTGCATTTCTTGAATCCTAGGTGGCAGTTTGTGCGCATTGATACCCAATTTTTTGCGATTTACATATTTCATAATGTGTATTCTCTTGACTATTAGTATGTTTTAGAAAACCCATGTGGTATTGCTTTGAGCAGTTTTCAAATCAAGGTGCCACAAGTTATTGACGTTCCGCGACCGAACTCGACAAATATGATTACGATCCTTTGGCTATGATCAATATTTCTACAATTCTAGCTCAGAACGTCCACAGGGTGCCCTAAATGCTAGACAGCAATAAAAAATACATTTGTAACATTCATTTTTGTCTAGTTTGAAGCTCCGAATGGGTACAGGATAACTCCTGGCGTCCGGAAAGAGAGCTCCGTGAACTGACGAAACCAACTCTTCATTTTCGTGGGGTCAAGTGTAGTGCTTCCTTTTACTTTGATGGCTTACGGCCTATACCTGTCACATATCTGAGATAACAGGAGCTGTAACTGTCACCGAAACCGGTGTCATTAGTAACGTTTTGTGTTGTCGTGCGGAATCTATTACAGTAACTTACCTCGTAACAGCTGATTCTGTTTAAGATGGTTAGTCGCCTGGCCGACGCTGTTCGAATGCGCTTCAGGAGTCTTCTCGTCCGGTGACAATCCGAAAGTATTTCCAGGGTCAATTGTGCTTGAAGTGCGGTTGGAAACTGAGGCAGTTAGCCACAAATCTGGAGACTGCGTCTCTGGGTAAGTACCATATATTCGGTTCCATGGAATTCCCATAAATGTTTCATGAAGTGGAATAGAAACAGGAGTTTTATCCGGTCCAATGTGATACAATGCGAAGGTGGGCACATTTTGGAGTACCCTTTCTGTGTCCGTGGAAAGAGGATTTATCAACCTGAAGGGCCTGTGAACGAGGTCTCTGATCAGTTGCAAACCGTCCATAGTGTGAATGACAGATATTAGCCAGGTTGATGTTGATTGGTTCGTTTTGGGAGCCTATGATGTGAAAGGTGAGTTTGCATACGTTTCATTAAATACATAGGTAACACGACTGGGCGCATATACACTGTGATTGAAAAGCAACATACCATTTGTCGCATTCGGTATACTTTGGACATGTTGACAGGGCCGAGATACAGTCGGATGTCGTGCCTGGAGGTTTCTAATGGCAATCCACTCATCTGTACCAGCCCAGTGACCCCACCGGGTGGTAGCTGGCGGGCATATGGACAGTCTGGGTCCGTTGGATCTTTTAGGTCTTGGGTGACAGGTTCAAGTAAGGGTCTATTACTGATTGCAGCTGGTGATAAACTGGGCATTCTGCTGCTGCCAGAGAGTACCACCTGCGGTTGCATGATCGAAGGCAGATTCATTCCAAACATGCTTCCCACCGAAAACGAATCTGTCCAACTTGATCCAATTGGTAAAAAAGTTGGAGGGAGTCCCAAATGAGGTACCGTATTTTGGGCCAACACCGAGGGAGCTGGGGATTGTCGATGGACGCTGAGAAGTGATTTCCACGGAGTAGCCAAACTTTGCGCCTGGAGCAAATAATGAGCCCAGCATGGCCAGTCTGCCATCGTTGAATTAACTGAAGTACGTGAACGGTTCTGGATGTCGGCTGAGAGGCTACCACTTTTGTTTGTAGTATTAGATCCTTGAGACTGCTGAGCCACGTTAAAGCAAACCTGTGAACATGTTGGATACAAACCAGAAAAACAATGCAACCAAAGAGAGAAAGTTGTATTTCTCGGTTGAAAATGAGCTTGCAGTGAAAATTAGTTGCATTGTGAAATATCCGCATGTGCATAGTTGAGCGTACTCTTACTATTGCAGTATGAAGCGTCGATTATTATTTGGTGGATTCTGTGGCGATTTCAACACCGTTTTCTAAACGCACATTGAAAATGATTATTGCCACACCCGTACCTAAGGATAGCTGGAGCAAAAATTTCTGACTAAAATGTACCTTGGGAGCTTTTAGTACACCACGGCAATAACACTATCCACAACCGGACTAAGCATTTACATAAAATTAGATTCTACCTTCCTCAGCAGCGTGGATTTCATCCTTCTCCCATCGACCCTAAAGTGCTACTAGAATCCAGCTACCAGAGTGCAATTTTAATGTCAGATGCAAGTGCAGTTCATTATTTCTAACCACATGTTGATCGATAAACTTGGGTTTTAGAACGAATAATTAGACAGCAGAAAAACATTCATTCAATTAACACTCACGGTCTTTCTGGTAAACCATTAGATTAATCTCAGGGATTAAATGGTCGGTTGCATATTGTTAGACACAGTGGCAGTAAAACGCAAGATTACAGGCAAGGAGGGAATCGTTTAAGTAAGGTCAAAAAATTGCTTTGTAAACCCTGTCTGCGTGCATATTCATTTACAACACGCAAGGCATCAGCAATGCACCAAAAGATAAAGCGGTTAGCAAACAGTATAAACAGTTACTTTGTAGAGAATAAGCAGGAACTCCATTATATTGTGAAACGATTGGTTAGATCTATACCTATTCTGTTAATTGCGTCCATAACGCTTTCAAACTCAGCCGTAAGGAAATAGGTTTCGTCCATACATCTTTCAGAACCCCCCTTAAGGCAATCAAAGAACGACCATCTAGCGCGAACGCACCAAAGCGCACCCCTCGTTGGATTACCAGTCCCAAATCAAACAATGGCATATCAGACTATACCATTTCCGAGTTAAGTTAGTTAATAGAGGAAACAAATTGGTTCGCAGGCATTTTCAACTTGGTTCGTAAGCATTTTCAACTTGGTTCGTAAGCATTTACATGTTGGTGCGTTTCAAAGTTTGGCTTAGGTGCACACGCGCATCGTCGAATAGCTTCCTCATTCGTCAGACGCCGTCGGCCTACAGGATGCCATGTGTCACTATAGAACAGGTGTTCTCAAATGTTTCGGCACGTGCACCTCATTGTAGTGTCACCTAGCACGACGGACCCCTAACCTTTTCTTACCCACAGAACTAGGCTTTAATAACATAAGAATGAGGTGGAGTTCATCGCTGTACACTGAATTAGCACAGCTGTTCATTTATGTTGGTAAAAGTGAAGGCTGTTGAACTTACATGGAAATGCAACTACGTATATAAGACTTAATACCTTGGATAAAATTCGTTCCGACATGCAGCGCTGACTTGTTTGATGCTAGGTCTTATTGAGGCAAGCTATAACCTCGTATCTCGTTACGTTTCAGGTCTGTTTCGGTACTTTGTTTTGTGTAGATATAATGCGAGAATGCAATCTCACACAGCTAAGTTGTGGCAAATGGGAGAAGCACGGCGATAGCTGTCTACCATGACAAGGTACACATCGTTCGCTTTGCATCCGAAATCACACAGCGACAGTCTGTGAAAAGCTTTTTGAAAGGAAGAGTCTGAGGTCATCTCCATGCATTTTGTATGCATGGGCGGGTACGTTTCTCGGTTCTGCTGTCAGCGCATTACGATAACTAACTATGTAAGATGCTTCCGTAGCTCTTTTTTACAGTCTGCGACGCGTGTTCAATATTTCCTCTCACTTGCGCTGTAAGGACTTTTTTCTGTCTTTACAGTCCATATGAATTGTTCAAAATGCCGCTGCATTTTAATAGGCACCATGTTCGGAAGAACTTGGTTACACAAGTCACTTTGTGGACAAATATTGGACTCCATAAATCCAAAACGAAGATAAATATTGTTGTATTTCAGCCTCTTACCCACTGGTACAGAGGATCCGGTTGGCACAGACTTAGAGTGCATCACATCAGGTACTAGAGAAACATCGCACGTGCTCATCGCAAATGCTGCATGCTGAGAAGGCACGTTAGATGGCCCAACTACTACTACAGCTGAATTCGACGAAGAAAATTCCTGTGAAACATTTAGCAGTATTCCATTCTTCATTTCATGGTCCCAGTTGATGTTACATGTCTAACTACCATGATGGAGATGAATAATTAAACATAAGAGTCCAAAACACACCAGGAATTCGGTTACTATGGTAAGTTGGGCTTCGAAAGCAGTGAAAGAAACAGCCACCGTTTTGTAAAGTCGCTGACGTAGTTTCTCTCGAATTCGCGGAATCGCATGAGTAAATTCGTTAAACACAGAAATATCCACGCTTTCATTCTGAGCTTTCATGAACGCGATCCCGCAAACGGGTCTCTCCTTCCGGTTTGCATATTTCGGAGGATTGTAACACTTGAAATGGCTACAAATTTGGGCCCTATCATATGGCATACTTCTAGCTGCCCCTCAAGGGACATAACCTGGGTTATGTGAGCTTAAGCAGACTCATCCAGCCACTGTCCATAGCATCACGGAGAAAATAATACACGACCTTTCGGAACTTGGAAAACCTCGTTCGCTCACATTTTAACTCCCTGCCAAAACAAGCTTCCTCCTTGGAAGGTGTATGTTGCCATGGGCAATGCACAAGGCTATAATGTAAACCGTTAGATTTGATATAAAAATTTTCACAGCATGTTTGTCACAAATTCGTGAAATAGAATGATCGCGTCCATAAAATTTCCTAATAGAATTGTAACACTGGGAGATCACGGGGATTCCCTGAAAGTAGCCACCGGACCTCCTGGGCATCCGCGGACCACCCTTTGAGAAATAGTACTATAGGGATTCTTCGACTCATAAAGTATGCCCATTCAGACATGAAGAGAACAATTAGGAAGAAATTTCTTTTCGATAAATATCGTCAGGCGCTACAGTTATGAAGTAAATAACTAAAAGTTGCAAAAAGCTATTGCTAGCTATGTATAAGGACAAGGACGTCAAATGATAAGGGAAGCAGTTAAACTGGGAACTTATTATGTACAGCAATCAATAACAGATTCAAAGGAGTCACGATGGACCGGTGACCTTGAGGCCTACTAGCTGCGTGAGGACCAGTTCCGAATTAGCGCTTGCACGAGAGCTCGCTGTTTGCATTTTTCTGGCTGAATGCGTCCGATAGCAAGAGTTTCAGCTATAGTCAAGAAGCGCCTTTTGAGTCCCTTTGAGCATCGCTATGTGGCAACTGGGAGAACCGTAAATGAGTCTTTAACATGGCACTGATGCCCAGTGTTGATCAGGGGCTCACAGGTGCGATGACCGCAGCGTAATAACTCTTCTGACTGAGTCACAGTGTGATTGTCTAACTGTGAAATGCACACTGATAACTGCACACGGTCAATAATATGACAGTCATAGTGTATGTGCCACGATTGAACTGGTTGCATTTCGAGTTAAAGGGACACTTACAGGGAATGATATAATAGCACGGGCAATGAAGAGAGTGTTCGGCAAGTCTCGTATGTTGTTAGGGTGCAAACCACAAGCACTAGTGCACAAATACAACGGTGATCCTTTTATGTACTATGAGAGGGAAGTATTATTGCAATACGCAGCTGGGACGTGGGATCCACCGAAATGGAACATCATTCATCCTTATACACGTTAGTGCAGGTGCAAAACTCCTCAGCTATTGTGTCGCAATACAAAAGACAAGGAAAGGAAAACAAACAGTGGCACGCTGACTGAGTCCGCAGTAACAGATGAACATCGTTCCGGAGAGCTAAAAGCTGACTATCGTACCGTAAAAAGAGAGCTATGTTCTGCCTAACGAGTGAGATCGTGATTGAAGGGGGATGCTAAGCAGGAGGGGGATGGACAAAGAAACTCACAACACAAACGTTATTGGGGCCGGCTGCAAGCCATATCAGCAAGTGTATCCAACCAAACGTGTTCACCGTCCTTAGGACCCCAGTCAGGCAGTCGGGATGCACCAACCGACGCCAACTTCGAAGTGAGGGTTTTCATCTCTCTCGACCAAGTAATCGCTTGGCCTCCCCTCCTCCTCTTTCAACCGCACCCACAACGCGCAAACAATGCACATCGCGGAAGTCGGTGTGCTGGCATGCGCAACACGTGGCCCAACCATCGGAGCCTGGTGCGTGATATAATGGCGCACATCCTACCGTTTACTGGGATCCAATCGAGCAGGGCAGCTTCAGCCCGGGGACTCAAAACAATGCCGACGTCAGTTTGACCGGCATTTGAAGCTGTATCATCACCAGACAGGCGCAATGAGAATGTGCTGCCAGTGTCGCATGTGGGGGATCTCAGGGTAAGCACGGAGCTCGAATCTTGCACGCGGGTTTCAGATAAACAGCAAATATCGATCGATAGGGTCTCTAATGTGCGGGAAAGTGCTGCCTGTTAGCCAATCTGTAGAAAAGTGCGCATGTTGAGGCATGCCATTCTTAGCAAGACGCGAGGACTCCATAGCGGAACGGATGAACTGACGTTGTCCGCTTGGTTGAGCATGGACTTGTCGACTGGATTGGAGCGACGCCCTGCGACTGTGTGTAATGTGAAACTAGAAGACAAGCGATTAATGAAGCAAGCTGGGGGAGGGTCAAGCATTGAGGGATTGAAATGGGGGATAAAAGTAAAGTTGGAGCGGGACGATAAGGAAAAAGAAGGCAAGCAAGGGGATAAGAAGACAGGAAGGCCTGAGTAGTAGCATCCATACCCTCTGTCTACCCTGCTCGATGCGGCAGCTACGGCATTGTTTAGTATCCTCTGAGATGGCCAGAGCATCAAGAAATTGTTTGATATAGGGTACAGGTAACCATCTTGCGATATTTAACCTATCCTCGTGACATATGAGTTCAAC